ACACCCACTACCCCTCTTTCCCACTCTCATCTCTTTCCCACTCTCATCTCATGGGACTCCAGAGACTTGAAATGAGTATTCTTCACAAGTGAAGTCATTTCCGTGTGCATGTTTTAAGATTACTAATTAATAATGTTTCTTTTTTGTGGTTTTTATTTCAGATATCATTTCATGGGTGTGAGGTGAAAGCAAGAGCGGCCGATCCTATTTGGTGTAAAGAGTATCATTGTCATCTTCATTGTGTATTTGTGATATCGGGACTTAAAAAGAATAAATGTTGTTTTAATTTTCCACAAGTCTGAAGGCTGCTTTTTTAAAGATACTTCTTGATAAGTTCTTGTACACGTTATGTATCATTGGCTCTGACTTTGAAAAGGTTGATTTTCTACAGAAATGTTCTTAAAAAAGTATGAAATGAAGATAGGTCCCTGAATGCCATACACATATGTCCATGAGTGCTTCAAGTTGTCTTGAACCGATGCTTCTTGTGCCATTTCGACTTTTGGACACTCTGCTATAGTAGGTCTCCCTTTCAGCACTATAAACTGCCAGATGGACACCATGGTCTTGGTTTGTGAGGCGGATTTCTGGAATATTTCTCTTCTTCAAATTTTCTTGCCCTCCGCAATATGAAAATATAATGAAAACCTTTAGCTATTGCTGTAGCATTTAGGTCACTTTTGGTGGCTGTCAATATGAAATTCTTACAGGTATTGGGGAGAATGAAATTAACTTGTGCTTCTGTTTGACAGCCGTACGGTATGAGAATTATGATACTGAATAAATGCTTTACTTTTTTAATCACATAATATTGTCCCCGTGGTTTTATACACCCCATATAATTTAGCAAAATTTGATCATTTTTTGCATGATTTCTGATTATTTTCCTTTATTATTCTTGGTTAAAATTAACAGATTCGCATAATTTCACATTTTTGGGCTCATTTTGCATAATTTTAGAATTTTTCTTGCATAAAACGACAGGGACAGATAAAAAGCCCAGAGTGAAGCCCACAAGCAATGCTCGTTCACCAGTGAAAGTGAAGCTTTTAAATTTGCTCAAAATGAGGAAAACTTTCCTCACCAGAATTGGTCTGACTGACTGGCCAACGCAGAGGCCTCAGGTCGTCGTAATCGTAATCCTTATTTCTTTTGTGTCTCTTGGGAAACGTTATCCTGTGCTAGTCAGTGTCAGACAATGACAGATGAACGGGTCGAAAGAATCGTAGACTGTTCTCTAATCAGTGATACAATCCAGTAGTTCTTGAGGCCGGTGAATTCATTTGCTATGATAATAGAATAGATAGCATTTGTATAGCGCAAATCCCCGCTCAACAGCAAGCTCTATGCACCTCACAATCTATACTATTACCCCAGCAGACCTGAGAGCATTCTGAAACAACACAAACTTCCTGGGAAGCATACAGTGCAAGCTGCCGTTTATAGGCGTGAAAACACTAACACAGTGACAAGATCTTTCGCTGTCTATGGCCAGGTACCCTTTCTCACCTAGATGAAGTGAGGAAAATTCGTATAAAGTGCCTTTCCCAAGGACACAACGTCGGGCCCGCAGCTCGAACCCCCGAACCTGCAACCTCACGATTACACGTCCAGTAGCCTAACCACTAGACCACCGACAACCTCACGATTACACGTCCAGTAGCCTAACCACTAGACCACCGACAACCTCACGATTACACGTCCAGTAGCCTAACCACTAGACCACCGACAACCTCACGATTACACGTCCAGTAGCCTAACCACTAGACCACCGACACCTCGTACAAATCTTTGGTTTTTTTCTTGTTGGTGTTTATTATACACCTCCATTGGAACAATTTGGATCATTTAGGAGGCAGGCTTCAGATTCTGCCTGCAGGGGCCGTCCAGGGCTGGGAGGGGTATTATATCTATCTAACATAACATCCCGGGCTGAGAGGGGTATTGTATCTGTCTAATATAACATCCCGGGCTGAGAGGGGTATTGTATCTATCTAATATAACATCCCGGGCTGAGAGGGGTATTGTATCTATCTAATATAACATCCTGGGCTGAGAGGGGTATTGTATCTAAATAATCTAATATATAACATCCCAGCAGTAAGAATGACACTCGATAAAAAAAATTTCAAGTCTCCTGCATGCAACAGCGAAGTGCCTAACGGCTACACCACATACCAAATAGGCTGGTGGTCTAAGATTCAATTTTGCTCTGTCTGAGGTTGCGTTGAAAGCAAAGATTTTAGATTGATAGTCATTGAAAGATTTAATTCTCTGGGGATTTCCGTCCTTGACAACATATCTAGCAAGCAATTTGATTTGAAAATTAAACATGAATGGGGTGCTATTGTGTATGCTGAGCGATTTGAATTCGAGACAATTGAGAGGGAAAATTTGACGAGGTTTTTCGAGACAAGCTGTTCCGAGTTCAATAATCTGTATGGGTGTCGGAGAAAAGTGTGTTGCCTAGACAAAGAAAACACAGCAGTTCAGGGTGGCATCGGTAGCCTAGTGGTTACGCTACCAGACCCATAATTGTCAGATTGCGGGTGCTGTGGTTGGACGTGTCCTTGGGAAAGGTGCTTTACACAAATTTCCCATTTGGCTTGTTCCTTTCCGAGATGGACGTCAAACATGGAGGTCCCATCTCTTAAAAAATAGCCTAATACTAATAGTGTTGGTAGGGACATTAACAGTTAAGTCGGGAAAGGCAAATTGTACAAGTACAAGCTATCCGAGAGTTTGGATTTTGAGCATATGAGTAGTTATCTGTGCCCCGATAATATTAAAAACGACAGAACTACCACATGTAAAATGTACAAGTTCTCACCATTTATTGTACAAAATACATCCTGTACTATGTACACACAGATTATGTTCATGTAGGAGAGTTTTAAAAACCTAAATTCACATTTTCCAGCACAGAACATCGTAAAACAATGTAGACAGTCACCAAATGTACAAATAGTCCACAAAACAACCTTGAGCCTGTCCTATCTGCTACTACTAGAGCATTTTTTGAGTGGCAGGTGGATAAAACTGTACAACTATATCATTATATAAGATTTAGACCACGGTATATAGGCCTACATCAAATACAGTGCTTTCCATGGAGAATGCACCTTACAAGACTTGTATTTTAAGAGTTAGTCAGAGGGCAAAGGTTTACACAAAATGCAACCATACAATACAAAAGTAACATTAATAGAAATTCTCGTTCAATACTTGTACTGGCATTAGACGTACAAGAAACAGTCATGGTGTGTCATTCATAATCACACCACGCACAGCATCCAGATACCCGTAAAAAAGGTGAGTGCACCTTGATAGAAAGCTGACATACTTGGCAACATCATACGTCATATTTAAAGAAATCTTAAAATAATTTACAGCAACAGGAAGAAAAGGACAAAAAAAATGAAGACTTCTCAGATTAAGTTCTCAGATTCTCTGTACAAAATGATACAGAATTTTCTAAAGTGGTAAAAACCTTCCACGCACAATTAAAAACTAAAAGAAAATTGTCTTTACAGTACAAGTTTACTGATTTTTAATTGACTTATGTCAAACAAAGAGCATACAGTTCCGCAAAACATGCTTATATACACTTATAATATCATGCAATTTGCCTTAATTTTCAAGGGTGACAGTTAAACTATTGCCATTGGTAGCATGGCCTACCAGCTAAAATTCTAAAGGCAAACAAATTCTTCACTTCAATCAAATAGAAAGTCATAAATTTCTAAAGGCTCATATTGAGTCATAATTCATAATATGACTTATGAACTGTACTTTTATCTCAGGCATGTATATCAAAGAGCTATTCATTATTTAAAAAATCACAGATCTCACTCATTTCATTAAAATTTGCATATATATATATATTTGAATTTGACCTAGTCTTGATATACTAGAACTAGAAACACAGAGCACCTGCTTTCTGCTCCCAGACTTGACATTGACCAATCGAAGACATACTCGTCATATGAATGAATCCATAATCTACACCAGGATGTCGATGAACCTTCAACTCCTCTAGGGTAAACATCTGAGAGCAACTGTGGCACATTACAACCCTCATAATACAATCTTATGAGAACGGACTATTTCCCCTTTTCTAAAATTTAATTGTATCATAAGAATAATCTAATTTTTAACTAGAAGTAGAAGCAACAAACATGGGTTTATTTGATAGAATATATAAGATATGACCTCATGCTATTGCATACTTTTTTATTTGATAATCAAAGGGAAAAAACTGTTGAGAATAATTTAAGAGAGGTCAATGTTATAGCATAGTATACCATCAAATGATAGGTAGAAATTGTTCACCTTACTGTTCAGTCAGTTACATGTTGCATATATACATATACTGAAATCAAGCAGCCGTTTTCTTAAAATCTTAAGTAATCCCAAAGCCAGTAATAACAAACAGCCAGCTGCTAGACAACTGTGATTGCCTTCTTACCCAGCGCCTCGACTTTCCCCTCGTAAAAACCTTGACTCAAAACAAAAACCTTTTTCCCCCCACATCTTTAGTTTTTGTAAGTGTTTTACGGCACTTGCAACACAATAAAGCCGAAGATTAGAGGTGTTACAAGAGAGTAACATACACAAAAAAGACGGGAGGAGAGATCAGGACGATAGATGTTTGATAGGAAAGAAGGAGCAAACCACACCAGAGCACCCGCTAACCGCCCACTTTTCCCCCATCAAATACTGAACAAAGGAAGGGTCTAAAAGAATGCGTGTTGACTCGAAGAAGGACAGCAACAGACAGAAACAACAGCACCATTTTTTCTCTGCCACAGCTGATCATTCATTCATTGCTTCACAAATTTAAAACGCTAGAACTTTCCTCCCCAGACAGCTTGCCAGGTGAGTCCAGACAGTTTGTCTAGTGAGTCACTCGAAGTAAACTGTGTTGATCTCAAAGAACCTTGGCGAGGGAAGTTTGGACACGCGGTGGTTGAGATGCTTCACGAACCGCATGGTGTCCTTGTCTCTGTACACCAGCGCTAGAGAGTTCCCCACGGGGCCCACCGACAGCAGCTGGGGAACACAGAACAACAATGAACAGTTTAGGTCGTTTTAGTAGAGGGGTTTTTTGTTTAGTGGAGGTTTTGCTTTTTTGTTTTGTTTTGTGGGCAGTTCTCGTTCTACGGCGCTCACAACTGCATTGTAAGGTCATATGAGCGCCAGAAGATTAGAGGGGTTACAAGAGAGTAACAAACATAAAAAAAGAAGAAGGGGAAACAAGGATGATAGATGTTTGACAGGAAAGAAGGAGAAAACCACACCAGAGCACCCGCCAACCACCCACAGTTGAGGTTTTACAGCACTCGCAACTGCATAAGGCCATAAGAGCGCCAAGGGGTGGATGTCAACAGAGAAGTCTTTACAGGGAATCAGGCTTACTCTGCTCACCTCTCTAGCCTCAACAGCACAAAGTCTGCTTTGACTATCAAGGCACCCCGGAAATAGCGGATCACAAGAGTGTGACAAACATAAAAAAGGAGTAGTGGCAAAATGACGATAGTAAGGATGAGGAAAGAAAAAAGCAGCAGTTCCCTGTTGCAGTTCAGGTACAGTTATGAGCATGATATTGATGAATCAGCCCATTTACAATTACGGTTCTACGGTGCATAAGAATTCGAGATGTTAATGTCCCCCCCCCCTCCCTCGGGAATGGCCTAAGTGCACTTCAGTCAGTAACAATAACCAGTGAAAATTGACATATGGAGCCAACTGCTTAGTTTAAGACTCCGTTATACGCCACACGTCAGGTATGAGAGAGTTTTACACACAGGAGAAAAGGTATCCATCATGTCTCAGATTTTACCTTACATTCTTTGTAGTCAAAACGCTCTCATAGCGTCATTCATTTGTTAAAAAAGAAAAACACAAAATTGGCTATAAGGAGGGTAGAAGTAGATCTAATTAAACACCCAATGAATTTCGTCTCTCGAAATAGCCACGACGAGAGCCAGAGAAAGAGAAAGAGAGACAGCAAGCACTGTATGGTATGTATAACTAAGGGTAGGCCAATGACCACCACCTCAATACCGGTAGGTACACATGTTGGGCTGGCATACGGGGCACAGTTCAAGGAAAATTTCGACCCACTTGTCAATTTTGTCAACCATCCTTGATATAGCCTGAAATTCTTACACAACAAAATTCGTATCTATATATTATAGGACAAAAAGATTTCCACCTCCCACCAGTTTTGCTGTGTGCATGCTAGACCATTTCACAAAATAAAACGTCTTATTTTTCCAATTTTAATAGTTTTCTTAGATTTCAGGTAAAAACAGAAATACAAAAAGAAGTAAACCCAGCTCAAACTCACCTCATCATCCTCTCCTTTGGCAATGTAAGAAGTGTAGCCGCCATTTTCAAATGACCATTCTGAAAAAAAAAAAATTTTAATCAAGGAATGTGACATTGGGGATGCATTTGCTATACTATAAATTCATACCATTACATTTGCTATAGTTAAAATGGCCACATGTACATGTAATAAATGTTTGTTTTCCAATGCAGCGTAAGAAAAATACTTCAAAAAGAAGGTTTCCTTTTGCTACATCATAGGCCTATACCTGAACTCAATTGTATGTTAAGTAGTAGAAAACCACAAAGATTGAATAACTAGAATTAGATTGATGAAAAGGGTTGAACAAAATATGTCCGTGTGCCTAAAGAAAGGTACCAAAAGTCGGATTTTGACTATTTTGAGTGAAGGCTTGTACCTTGTAGGAAATTCAATGCTGAACACAGGGGTCTTTGGATTTTTTAAATATCTCAAGTACCGGTAGTTTTTGAGACATTGCACATTTTGCGAGGTAGGGTATAAAAATATAATTTTGAGAAAATGAGCTTTTAAGTTCAACAAACATGAGAACACGTACAAACTTAGAAAAACGATTTTTTAAATGTATTTATTCTTGGAAAATTAATTTCCAATTTGTCATTCAGTTGACATGGATATCATGAATGGAATTCCATGTTAAAACATAGCAGGGAAGAGAAAACTTGCTTCAACAATAGACTTTAACACCTTTCAAAAGCAGTTTTCATGATTGTTTTTGTTATACCCTGCCCTCTAAATTATTCAAAATAAAACATTCAGAAGTCAAATCAATGTAAACCCTTTGAGCACATTGTAAAAAAATGTTGGATGTATCATTTTTTTAACGAAAACACATTTTGATTAAAAAAAGTGATTTTTGTCGTTATCACCTGTAGCTCAAAATGGTCTGGGGTGACTTTTTGTACCTTTCTCTAGGCGCACACACATATAATGAAACGGGACCTACCTTTTCCACAGTCAATGTATAACATGGAATCCAGAGCGAAATCAAAAGCTTCCGAGTCTGTATCATGGGCCAGTGTGTAGCAGCCGTGCTCCCATTTCCGGACTTCACTTCTGTATCGTGGATTGCTCACTGAAAAAAAAACAACCAACAACACCAGGTATGCATTCATTTGTATTATCAGGTAAAGTTGAACCGTTCAAAACACACAATCTGGCCATACTGTCCTCACAATGATTCAGTGGTTAAAGGGGCTGCAGCCCCAGATATACTCTTTGTCGTCCCATCTCGCTGATCGGCCATGTTTACCACGGTTTACCACCCAGTTTCTTACGATTTCCCCCCAAATGCCTTTGCCTTTGATGGCAAGGGCTTTTATTCTATGAGCCTGAGTGATGACAAAGTGTTCAACTAAACCCACAGACAACTACAACACCTACCAATGTATAACTAAACCCACAGACAACTACAACACCTACCAATGTATAACTAAACCCACAGACAACTACAACACCTACCAATGTATAACTAAACCCACAGACAACTACAACACCTACCAATGTATAACTAAACCCACAGACAACTACAACACCTACCAATGTATAACTAAACCCACAGACAACTACAACACCTACCAATGTATAACTAAACCCACAGACAACTACAACACCTACCAATGTATAACTAAACCCACAGACAACTACAACACCTACCAATGTATAAGTCATAGTAACAAGTCTGGCAATGAGAGATTTGTGTGACCATCTTGGACAGGTTTTTGAGGCTGTTGGTTGATAAAATATAGAGGCCACAACCACGTTAGACAGATTGTTGACCTAAACAGCACTATTATTACATTGAAAAAAACCAACCCACACACACACAAAGGTGGAGGTGGAAAGTGGCCAGTTGTACAGAAAGTTTCTAAGCATGTTCCAGAGGTGGAAAGTGGCCAGTTGTACAGAAAGTTTCTAAGCATGTTCCAGAGGTGGAAAGTGGCCAGTTGTACAGAAAGTTTCTAAGCATGTTCCAGAGGTGGAAAGTGGCCAGTTGTACAGAAAGTTTCTAAGCATGTTCCAGAGGTGGAAAGTGGCCAGTTGTACAGAAAGTTTCTAAGCATGTTCCAGAGGTGGAAAGTGGCCAGTTGTACAGAAAGTTTCTAAGCATGTTCCAGAGGTGGAAAGTGGCCAGTTGTACAGAAGGTTTCTAAGCATGTTCCAGAGGTGGAAAGTGGCCAGTTGTACAGAAGGTTTCTAAGCATGTTCCAGAGGTGGAAAGTGGCCAGTTGTACAGAAGGTTTCTAAGCATGTTCCAGAGGTGGAAAGTGGCCAGTTGTACAGAAGGTTTCTAAGCATGTTCCACTCCAGTTCCCTCAGAAAAAAACAAGGGCAAAATCTAAAAATGTTGTTGCACCAAAAGGAAGATGCACGGAGAATCAAATCTCAAAGTTCCTGTTAAGCCTGATCAAACGTCAGCTCACGAGTAGATGGCAGCCTGCCCAATGCTCCAGGCACTTAGAAGGTTCTTGTTCTTGTTTCAGGAAGCAACATCCCTGCACTCCGGACATGTCCATTGATGCTCCGTTGCTCTCTCCAAAATGTCGCCGAGGGTCTTTCTACTGATTGTGCCAGTGCACATCTGATTTGTAATGATCTCAGTCTTAATGGGATGAATGGCTACAGGACTCAGTAGTCGCTAACGTGAGTGTCAGGTAAGCGAGAGGGACTGCACCAGGTCTATGGACTCTGTAAAGACATATCTTGTCCCTTCCCTGGTATAGGGCTCTGCCAGGGTGACAGTTTTCTTCCCTACCATAGAAAAACCAAACTTAAAAGGAAAAGGTACAACCTTGGGCAGAGAGAACAAAATCTCTTTGGGAGCATGGAGGACATGCAGCGAACAGCAGCCTTCGCACTACAGACTGGGATGTCCATTTAGAGATGAACAAAAAATGAGAAGATGAAAACAAGTAGAGGGCAAACTTACCGTCTCCGTTCGACTTGGAGGATTCTCCGTTCCCATTCGAGGCTGCAGCGGCACCCTCCTCCCCCTCCGAGAGTGGCGCCAAGCTGTGCAGTTTGAGGCCTGTCAGGTTAGACAGGACCAGGAACACGGCGTCCGACTGTATGACCCGCAGGTACTCCGCCACGATCTGAGGCACGTCGCTTTTGTCAGCGACGTAGTAGTTCCTGGAACGTGGGCGACAAGAGTGATGTCAATGTCAGCAATAAGACAAACACACAAGCAAGAACAGACAGATATAGAAATTCATTCGTACCAACTGCAGTGAGGTTACTGAACACACAACACACAGTGCTACAAATGAAACACAGAGAGAGAGAGAGAGAGAGAGAGAGAGAGAGAGAGAGAGAGAGGGAGGGATAGAGAGAGAGAGAGAGGGAGGGAGGGAGAGAGAGAGAGAGAGAGAGAGAGAGAGAGGGAGAGGGAGGGAGAGAGAGAGAGAGAGAGAGAGAGAGAGAGAGAGAAAGGGAGGGAGAGAGAGAGAGAGAGAGACAGACAGAGAGAGAGAATGTTTTACGGAACGGGTTGTCCCAGCACGTGAGACATGTATTTACTTGGCCTAATGTCCTGTCTTGTTGTGCGTTTGCGTGAGTGCACCTTTAAGTCTAACTTTTTTAACGTCTACTGCCATTGTTAACGACCAAGACAAATTTCTCCCCGCGAGATGAATAAAGATTGTCATTGTCACTGTTAAACCGCTCTTAGAACAGACATTTCCGCTGTAAGCTCACAAAAACACCTTTTTTTTTTCATTTTGGCGGCAAAAATTTTTATTTGCTAACTTGAAAGCCAGATCAGTAACCCTAATTGTGTGAAAAAAAATTAAAAAGTGAAACTGTAACTATTTTTGAATAAATTAGAATTCAAATTTCGGAAGCACTCTTTTTCTACAGTTACGCTGACAAAAAACCTCCTATTCTCGAAACTGCTGGGAATAAAGAAAGGTGTTTTCTCAGTTTACGGCAGATTTGATCTGAAGCAATTTTTATACAAAATGCCTTCAATTTTATATTCAGAAAAAAACATAAGTCAAAAATCTGAACAGGTTTAAGTGAAGCTCAAAGATTTCCAAAACGCTACCTTTTATTTGCAGGTCCGAGTAATTTCCACCTGACAGTCGAGTCTTGTAAAGCTAGCATCAACTCATCATACTTCTCCACCTGTGGAACAGGAAAATCATCGTTAAAACGGGTTATATTTTTACTATACTATAAACTATAAGGGGCGGAGAAAAGAATACGCATCATTACAGCCGTCACGACGGATGTAGTGGATTCGGTACAACCGTTTCAATGTTATTGAGTTTGTGTTACATCGGTGCATGTTCCACGGAAACAGATCGCTACGTCTGAAGACCTTTACAACCGACATCGCTACAAGTGGAGTGGACTGTACACAGTAGGCTACACCCTAAATTGCATAACCAGAACCTTTCAAAACTTGAAAGAAAAAAAACAACATATGTTTTTCGTACCAGTAGCCTTTAGCTCGGCCATAGCTTTAAAAAAAACAACCTACGGTGAAATTAGTCAAGAGAACTTTTAATTTTTTTTTATGAGAGACAAACAGGGGCTAAGTACGATTTAAAGACAATGATCGTGGATAATGCAGAAACAGTGATAAATCTGTGGAAGTAACGAAAACATCAGGCAATATAAGCCTGAGGAAGAAATGACAAACACAGACAGGTAAATCTGAAAACAAACTCACATAAAATCTTGACATAACAAATTTTATCGGCAGAACTAACAACAAAAACAACACTGTAACAATAAGAAGCAAACCGGCCCCCACCTGCAGGAAGTCGGTGAGCTCAATCTCCGAGTCCTGCTCAAACCTGTGCCTGATGTCACTCTGAACCTCCGGGGCCAAGTACAGCGGGTTGAACCACGAGTAAAAAATCTCTTCCTATCGAAATAGAGAAACGTAACAAGAAAGTCTAGTATTACGTATAGTACAATGTATTACCGTCACGGAAAGTAATAACTGCACAAGCCTTGCCTTCAACACATAAGATAAGATAAAACAAAATAAGATAAGATAATACAAAATAGGACAAGACAAGATAAAACAAAATAAGATAAGATAATACAAAATAGGATAAGATAAGATAAATCTTTATTGTCTATAAAGTAAAAATGACAGCACAAAGAGGCCAATTAGAGTGAAATATATTGTTAAAAAGGATCCCTAATAGAAGTTTAGTGTTAGTTTTAGTAAGAGTTTTACGGCACTTGCACCACAATAAGGTCATATAAGTGACCAAGATTAGAGGTGTTACAAGAGAGTAACAAACACAAAAAAGAAGGAATTTAGATAAAGACGACAGATGTTCGATAGGAAAGAAGGAGCAAACCGCACCAGAGCACCCGCTAACCACCTACTGACGTACCTCAATGCTGCCGTATGGCAATGCAGGCGGAAGACTGTCTACGTAAGGCTGTGGGCGGGCCAGCGGAGGGCCATGGAACCATCCACTAATAGACAGTCTGGTCTTGTCTTCTGACAGAACCTCGGCCACCTGGAAAAGAAAAAAAGAAACATTGTAAAACTTTATGTATCTCTGTCATTGCAAACCAGTTGTAAAACTTTATGTATCTCTGTCATTGCAAACCAGTTGTAAAACTTTATGTATCTCTGTCATTGCAAACCAGTCTTAATTCATACTATGTTATATGACAAACGTTAACACTGCACAGATCGGTGACATATGTAATGCCCTACACATCCTAACCTTTTCCACTTAAAAAACAAATAAACAAATCACGTCTTAGAGTGTGTTGAGAACTGGAAATTTGAGAAGTATTTCTTCATTTTTCAAAGCCACCATTCACATCAAGCATAAATCACTTCATCCCAGTTCTTCTTAGGCATACAACTCCCAGCCCTGAATTTTTTCGAGAGCATCATCTTCTCTAGGCTCAAATTCATCTGTGAACATGGACAAAAATATTCCTTTTCATCCCCTTCCTGCAGAAACAGAACTAGTTTCAAAAAGTCGACGTTGATCTCTCCACTGTCCCCTTTAGGCATTTTAGCAAAAGAAGATGAACTTGATCCAATCCAACTTCTTAGCTCACGCTGCACAAGAGGTCAGACAACCTCTCAGACGAAAATCCACGCTAATGATGACACTACTTACAGAGGATTCGATCAATAAAACATACAACGTCGCATATATGAGACATTCAGGCTTTTGGAAAATAATAATATAAGTTTGCAACATATGTATGTGTCACGACATAGTGGAATCAGGCGTTTGTCAATTTTTGGGCATGTAGAGTTATTGATATCACCCTAAAGCTTGTTAATTTGTCGAGCTTTCAGTGAAAAAATTAGCCACCTACCTTCAATGGAAGTCGAGATATTTGCGATTAAAGGAGGTGGGGGTCAACTAGTCTCACAGGTAAAATTAGAAAATGGCCGCCAAAGTTTGGTATTTCCAAAGCTTTAGAGTCTTTGGAAACTGTAAATTTACATTTTCTGTGCCTTTAATCAAAGTTTTCAGAAAACCCAGATAGCAACTTATTTTCAAATGTATAAAAGATGTTGAGCCAGAAAATGAAAATTCAACAAAAATTTCCAAATGTGAAAAAAATATATGCCATTTCTTAGATTTCATTATTTAGACAAGCGCCTGATTTCACCACGATGCCTCACATATCTGTGTGTAACAATTAGGGCGAGTGAGATAACATATTCCACAAGGGGAGTGAAAATAAAAACAAGAGGAATTAAAATAACAGTACCTGTAAATGAAGGGGGAAGATTAAGCTTGTCACGGTAGTCAGTTTCGTACCTTACTCTTTTTTAATCACGGGACGTAAGCCCACCGTATGCCATGGGCTTTTTGTTAACGTTACTCACTCCGGGGACCAACATAAGAAGTCCGACACTGCACCTGGGCTCATTTGATTGCTTGGTGTCGTGTGTGTTCGTCTCTCCCGTTCACAGTCGTGTGTATATACTAACATTACAAAGCTACAGTGGCAAAATAAAATCAGACAACGCTTATTCCTAAAGACAAACAAGGTAGCCTACCTGATGAAATGACTTTGATGAAACTTCAAAGAAGAGGAAGTTGTTTCTCTTTGGAACAATCGACTTGACAACGTCTCTCGGCTGAGCATGTTCTGAGAGGGAAATACAAAGTAAAACACACAGTTGTTGTTGTTGTTGTTGTTGTTGTTATCGATCCAGCAACAGCTGGGCTCTCGCCCTAAAACAAACAGTAAAACACATCATTTTCATGGACAAACAAAAAATATTGAGGGTAGACATTCCCCCATCATATCTACTGTGAAAATTATCTCACAAAGTTTGTTTTGTTTTTTGACTAGTAGTCAGATGTTAAGAAACAACTTTACTTTACTTTACTTTTCCAATCCAGCGGCTACCTGAGTTCTAGCCCTTGTGGTACCAAACAACAAAATTTCAATTTGTTCTTGAATGTCAATCAGCCGAGACACAAAAAGCGAGAAGAGGCGTGAACCTACCATCTATGTCAAACAGGTCAAGGGCGCCGCCGTCCACAGAAGACCAGGACTCGGGAACAAGGTAGTAGATGAAGGCCACTCTCCGTTCCTCCAGCTCGTCGTCATGACACAACAGAACGTCTGAAAAAAAAAATTTTTATAATTAAAAATACACACCAAAATCTATAAATATATAATGCACTTGCGTTGTGAAAGATCAATAATCAAAACCATTAGAAAAAGACAAGTGAAATTCTTTGGCCACCTGAATAGATCAAATAGACTAGAGAAACTGCTGCTGTGAGGAAAGATAGAGAGAAAGAAAAGCAGAAGAAAAAATACAAAGAACAACGTACACAGATGGCCTGAACAACTTTGCAACGAATAACACAAAGAAAGAGAAAAACCAAGTGGATCAGGAAGACAGACAACAGGAAGGAACAGGAATTATTTCACTACAGAGTAAAGAGAATGATCATTTTTCAATTATAGTAAATATACCTGTGTACTTATACTGTGAGCAAAATAAATCTATCTTTGAGTTGAGAGGGATTCCCGTGACATCAGTTAAGAAGTTCCTGACCGACTCACAAATTGTCCTGTAGAGTAGAAAAAATAACAAAAATCATTGAAAAGTACTTTTCCATGGTCTACCTATTTCCGAGAACTCTCAATAGTTTTTTAAGTTGACATTATCGAAACAAAATCTACTTCCCCCACTCATGAAGGAAGACAAAATATGAACATAACAATGTAGAATGACTGCACAGATGAAAAGTCAAAAATATCAACGGCAGATGGAAAATCAGTCTATTTGAATGAATACTGACCGTACTGTTCTTTAAAGGCTTGCTGGTGGCTGTAACTTCATTAAAGGCAATCTCTTCATGCAGTTACAATTTTATTTTTTTACGAAAAGATACCTAAACTCTTTTTGGTTTGACAGATAACAAAAATTGGAGGACATACCTGGTCTTCAACTTATGCTCAGTAACAGAAACACTCACAAAAGATAGATAATAGAGCAATTTAAGGTTTACAGCAACAACAAAAATCACCTGAAAGTGGAGATAGTAGAAGATTTGCTGTGGTTCAGATCTCGACTCTGAAAGAAAAAAGAAGTTAATGGTGAATCTAAAGCATGCACGACCAAAGACAAAAATAAATAGTGCCCCCTAGAGAGGTAAAACTCAATAGTTGACTACAGGCACAGATAAAATAAGTAGCCTACAGTGAAAAATGAAAAAAAAAGCACAAAAAGCTGTATCACATGAACCTTGAAAATGACATGAAACCAAGCCATGAAAAGTCTCCTGTAAACATTAGCAACTTATCTTTCAACATAACATCTGTAATTATAGTAATTATATCATCCTTAAAAAATTGACACAAGGAGACAAATACAGCAACACTCAGCACACACACTGTAATAACCAGAAGCTAGTATATCAAAGCAGAAATTCAGATTTTTTATTATCATTTATTCAAGAAGCTTCCTTTTAGCAAAATCCATTCTTCTTCTTCCTCGTTCTCGATGACAGCAGCTAGACAGTCAAGTCCGATTTCGCGTACAAACTGTGTAGTTCGCTTCAAGCAAAATCCACGATTGGACATATCAACTATTCTATTACTAAGCTGAAAGAATCCCCCACTTTACCTGCGAGAACTTGTATAGGTCATTGTTCTTGTCACGGAGCGGGAGAGCCAAAAGAGCTGACTCTAAATCAGTGACATACTCCGGTTTGGAAATGAAGTTGGGCAACACACAATGGCGGAAAGGTTCACAACTCAGCTTGACACCAGACACTTCTGAAAACAAAAGGGAAATTTTGATGAATTTTTCATCACAAGATACACCTCCATACAAATTCAGGAAAGCACCAGAAAGTCTGAGAAAGCCTTTTCTTGATCAAATATATTCCCAAGGAGCAATGTTTTTGACAAGAGTTCTTGAAGTGTGTACAACTTTGAGAACTAAATTCATTGAACAAGAATTGCTGAGATTTGCAAAAAAAAGATAATAACACAAATTGATACAAAAAAACAACAAACAAACAAAAAGGAAAAAATTGAAAAAGGGTTGGGGGTGCTGTGGATGAGAGCGGAGGAAAGAAAAAACTGAAAATCAACAATCGGCGATGAAACCAAGTAACGTAGCCCAAAGGGCGCTATGCGGTAAAGCGGGCCCGCCACAGTGAGACCAGGTCAACTGGTGAAGGAAACCCCGGAGGACGACAAATATAGATGGAGGAAATATGTGATCTACATATCTAGGCTATATTTGGGCCAATCACAGAGGAGTGCTAGATTGCTCGCTGTAGCTTCATGAACAGAGGTTTAGAGGCAAGACTAAGACAGGAGGTGGGGATTAACATTAAAGGAGCTTTTTTTCCAATATAAAACAATCTTTCTTTGTTTCGAAAAAAGTATGATATGTCCATAAATCAAAGTCGTCTCACATGTGAAATCAGTGTCTGTGTTGTAGCGGAGGCCCTTCGTCTTCACAGCTGGACGCAAAGGACAATTGAATTCCCATGAGAAAAAAACTTTTAGATTTTAGAGTCTCCATTTAATTTGTCTGCTGGTGTGACATGTCTCCCTCAGCAGAGTCGAACCCCTTCACCAAAATGATTTAAGTAGAGTCACTGACGGTGTAAAATTTCTACATCTGTCGAACTGTGCCTGCGGTAAGATACTCGAACTAGAGATCCCTTGAACTACCCAGGCCAGTCCCGATGAATTTGAGCTATCCGTGTTAAACTGTATCATGTACTAGATCTAGATCTTAATCTAATAATCTCCTCTAGAGACTTCCAATCTATAAATTTTGTGATAGATAAACTAAAGGTAGCGTCAATTGTGACCGGATCATCCGGTCGGAACTGACACTGCGTCAATTGTGACCGGATCATCACACATACACAGCAATTTCTCCGGTTCTAGAAATCGTTCGGGATTGTATGCTGGCATGTCGTTAGTTTCTTCCTCTGATTGGCTGCCGAGTTTCATTTATTTTCGTCCATGAGTTTTCCTGTAACTATACTAAGAAGAGATGAGTCACTTCTGATTCCGAGCGGCCCAAAAATTACCCCTCGCGCGGAGGACGATTTCCGGCCCAAGGCGCAGCAGGCGATTGGCATTGCTAGCCAAAGTCAACGGTAAGATTGAAGGATATGGGACCAGCGGATCAGGACTACTTTTGCCTATATTATAGATGTCTCGACAACCTTAGAAATTAATGATTTTCCCCAGTTTTTAATCTTTCTCAAGGAAATGGAAAATCTCAGACCGGAAGCCTGGATCTATTCATTAGCAGTTTGTCAGGGAGGAGACCCCCCCTGAACCCCCCCCCTCCCCTAATCCCTTCCTACGCCCCCCATTCTCGCGCAATAATTCGAGTGGTCCAGTAGGCTATTCTTCAATCTTCCCAAGTCAACTAGATCTAGCGAGGGAAGCCCCGGAAGACGACAAAAATAGATTCATAATACGTCTTCTATATTTGGGCCAGCAGCGTACGTCACCGGCTATGTCTCCGGTCACAATTGACGCAGTGTCAGTTCTGACTGGATGATCCGGTCACAATTGACACTCACTACCTAAACTTAAAACAGACTCACCATCAAGATATTCTGAAGAGCTCTGGAACGCCTTGGCCACAGAAGCTTGAACTCTTTCATTAAAAATAGAACCGTTGATATGTGAATGTCTGTGTTGGAGGAGTGGGGAATCAATAGCTGGCGATACTGTTGAAACGGTACTGCTTCCTCCACCCGGAGACTGGTCTGTAGCAATCGTCGAATTGAAACGTTCTTCAAGAACGTGTGCCTGGTCACGTCTGAAAGAATCACCTTCCTCGGAAGAAGTCAACGACAAAGCCATAGGTGGACTTCCACTTCTACTGATTTTCTGTGGAGGCTCCTGACTCTCTAAGGCTGCAAGACTTTCAATGCATGCTTTCTTTTTATTCATTGCGCCGAGCAATTTGAAACACGAAGCTCACTTAACACTTAATGTTTACAATCTCTCTCGCCGGGTCTGCCTGGAGTCGACCATGCGTTCTTGTTTACAACTTGCAACTGGATCACTTTGTCCCCAGATTGTTAGGCTAATTGGATATTTAGTCCGAAGCAGGACTAGACTTCAAATAATCAATAGCGTATTTCTTTCTCACTATCATTTTTGTAGACTCAAGTCATATTAGTATGTCTACTTTGTCGTACATAAGTCAAAGTTAACCAAAGACACTAAAGCGTACTTGAAGAAAAAAAAAACAACTAAGGTTTTTAAGAACAGCCGAGTTCATTATGTCGCCGCCCAACTTGGCAGGGAAAGTAATGAGCGCAACTGCCACATCAGGTTGCCAGACTAACTGTGAAATCTGAGTTTCCAACTTAAAATACCTCAACTTTTTAAACATTAATAGCCAAGGCTTACATAATTAAATTCTTTCTTTTCGAACTTTCACGGGGAACCTAAACAGCTTTATTCAGCAGAAGTTCTTGATATGCTGCCTATGAAGGATGAATAAAAATATAAGACAATGTGCCTTGGATTCGAAGAACTGCGGGGCTCAGAAGAAAAGTCGTATAGGCCCTATGGTCGTGTGAACGTCAAATTAGGGACGCGAAAGACCTGCAGCTGATACCATAACCAACACCCCTGTTGATATCTAAACTGAGGTAGGGAAAAATAGAGGCGAATTATAGGGCCTAAGAGATGGTCATGATTACTTCTGCAAGCATTCTTGCTTAGGGTATTTTATAATTACTAGTTTAACCATAATTAGAAAAGACGATTTTATAACGACTTCCCCCAACCCACAAAAACATGTAAAATAGTAAGTAGGCCACTAGAAAATGTCTCTCGTCCATCAAAAATATAAATTAGAATTAGCACATTAGAACTGGAACAAAATGAAAACCACGGAAAAATACAGAGTTAAAAGAGACAGAAAGGGATAGCAGAGAGAGGCAGGAGATGCCAGAGAGAAAGAGAGGGGAGAGGGGAGAGGGAGGAGAGAGAGAGAGAGAGAGAGAGAGAGAG